AAAACACTCATGCATATAAAATCAAAAGTCCTAGGCCCACAAAAAAAAAAAATACATACACACATACACACACACACACACACACACACACACACGTGGGGGCTAGAGAGATGATTCAGCAGTTAAGAGCACTTGCTGCTCTTGCAGAGGACCTGGGTTCAGTTCCCAGCACCCGCGTGGCAGCTCACAACATCTGTTTAACTCTAGCTTCAGGGGATCCAATGACTCTGGCACCTGCACTCACATGCACATACCCACCTCAGCCCACATGCATTGTGCTTTAGTGGTCAACTTGACACACCTGGGAAGACAGAACCTCAACTGACACATTTCCTCCATCAGACTGCCCTGAGACTGTGTCTGTGAGACATTTTCTTGATTGCTGAGTGATGTAGGAAAACAGAGCCCACTGTAAGTGGCGCCACCCCTTGGCAGGTGGTTCTGAGTTGTATAAGAAAATAGGGAACAAGCCAGTAGGCAGTGCTCCTCCAGGGTCTCCGCTTCAGTTCCTGCCTGCCTTCAGGTTCCTGTCCTGACTCCCCTCAAGGATGAACTGTTTTGGGGAAGTATAAGCCAAATAAACTTTTTCCTTCCTAATTTGTTTGTCTTCAGTGTTTTATTACAACAATAGAGAAGTTAACTAGGACACACATAATTTTAAAATAAAACTAAATCTTAAAAAAAAAAGGTAGAAAGCAGATGTCAATCCCCAGCCCTTACGGGTGCATAAATTAGGCACATGCATCCACACACACCATGTGTATACACACACACACACACACACACACACACACAAACACAAAAACATTCTAACAAGGACAGGAAAATGAAATTTTGTATACAGCCTAGGACTTAGTGAGGAAAAAAATAAAACAACAACAACAACAAAAAAAAAAACCCCAAGTTATTATTTCTTACTGTTCCTGGGCTTCAGTTTCACTCTTTTTCTTTTGTTTGGAGTGCTATGCATGCTAGCTCTACCACTGAGCTACACCCTTAAGCCCCAATGCACCTTAGTTTCTCTCTCTCTCTGTCTCTGTCTCTCTCCTTTCTTTTATTACATTTATTTATTTTGTGGTAGTGGTGGGGAGATGTATGTGCAGAGGTCAGAGTAAAACTTTCAGGAGTCAGCTCTCTCCTCCTACTATGTGGGTCCCGGGGATCAAACTCTGGTCATCAGGCTTGGCAGCAAATGTCTTTATCCACTGAGTCACCTTGCTGGCCTTCATTTTTTTTTTTTTTTTGGTCTTTTTGAGACAGGGTCTCCCTGTAGCCCCAGCTATCCTAGAACTCACTATGTAGACCAGGCTGGCCTTGAACTCACAGAGATCCACCTGCCTCTCCCAAGTGCTGGGATTAAAGACGTGCACCACCACGCTTTTTCTTTGGGTCTTTCTGAGACAGGGTCTCTCTGTAGACCCAGCTGTCCTGGAACTCACTATGTAGACCAGGCTGGCCTTGAACTCACAAAGATCTGCCTGCCTCTGCCTCCCAAGTGCTGGGATTAAAGGCGTGCACCACCATGCCCGGCCCATTTTTTTTTTTAATATAGTGCCTTATGTATCTCAGGTTGGCCTTGAACTCACTATGGAGTCAAAGATGACCTTGAACTTCTGATTCTCCTGTCCCACCTCCTAAACACTGGGATTACAGGTATATACTATCATGCCTGATTTTACACTGCCCTGGATATTGAACCCAGGGCTTTGTACATGCTAGGCAAACATTCTACCAACTGAGCTATGTCTCCAGCACCTCAGTTTCTTTAATTGATAACAAAGGCATTAGTGTAGGTCTGTGACCCTGGATCCCCATTGTGATCCCTACCTGTGAAGCTTGCTCAGTCATAGTCCTGGGTCTACCCTAGAGAGGCAGTAGTTGTGAGATGGCTTGAGAAATTTTGGTTCTAGCTGGGCATGGTGGCACATGCCTTTATCCCAACATTTGGGAGGCAGAAGCAGGTGGATCTCTGTGAGTTTAAGGCCAGCCTGCTCTACATAATGAGTTTCAGACCAGCTGGGGCTACAGGGGGACCCTGCCTCAAAAAGATAAAAAAAAAAATAGAGAAATTACAGTTCTAAGAGGTTCCTAAGCGACACTGCTGCTTCTGCTGGGCTGTTCCATATATAAACTGGAGAAGTTCTTCTAGCCTCTTCCATAGTATTGAAGTCAAGAGAGACTGAAAAAAAATCAAAGTACCCAGGAAGAATGGACCAGACACTGCTTGGGGCATCTGCAGGCCTGACTTTTCTACTTTATGAGCAGTATGAGAAGTCTAAGGACAGCAGTGATCTATGTCACATATGTCCTCACATCTGCAAGTCTGTCCCAGTGTTGTGTGCCTCACATCATTGCTTTTCACTCTACACCTTTTATACTGCTTAGCCTAGTATATCACAATCCAAGAAACATGTTCAGTTGAATGGAAGCTTTAGGTAATTGTGATAAACTTCTTGCAGGCTTCAGGTCTAAAAGAGCTGACTTAAAATTAGAATATTCCAACAGATAGAGAGCTAAGCAATTAGATCTTTTTTCCAGGCTAAAAAGACTGTAGCTCTAAAGTTTAGATCCTTAATTAAAAACAAAAGCAACATAAAGAAAAAGAGCAAGCTGGATGTGGTGGAGCACCCTGAGGTCCAGTAATAGAGTGAAAAGAGGAGAAAAGCCAATAGTTGTCCACGTCTATGATCCCAAGCGGCCAAGGCAAGAGGATCATGAGTGTGAGGCCAGCTTGAGCTAAGTGGTGAGACTGAAGTATACATACACAGAGGGAGAGGGAGGGAGAGAGGGAGAGAGGGAGCGAGGGAGGGAGGGAGGGAGGGAGGGAGACTGAGATTGGGAGAAAGGAAAATATACTGTTACATTATATCCTTATGTGTATGTATGTGTGAGAGAGAGAAAGAGAGAGTTCTATGAGAAAAAGGAAACTATACTGTTCCATATATATATAGTTTCATACATGGGACTGTAAAACACATGTAAAGCGATTCCCACACGGGAATCTGAAACTGGATAGGGTACTCAAAAGGCTCTTTTGTGATACTGTGTCTGAGGACTTTCAAATACATTGTTTTTTATTTTGTTTTTTGGTCTTTTTGAGACAGGATCTCCCTGCAGCCCCAACTGGCCTTGAACTCACAGAGATCCATTTGCCTCTGCCTCCCGAGCAATAGGATTAAAGGTGTGAGCCACCGTGTCTGGCTAATATACTGTTTATATATATATATATATTCAATTTTTATTTTATGTGTATGCATGTATTGCCTGCATGTAGATAAGTGCACCCATGTCACGCAATGCCCGCGGTGGACAGAAGAAGCTGTCGGATGCCCTGGAACTGGAGTTGATAGACAGTTGTTAGCTGCTATATGGGTGGTGGGATTCAAACCTGGGTCTTTTGCAAGAACAGCCAGTGTTCTTATCCGCTGAGCCATCTCTCCAGCCTCAATACACTGTATATTTTTACAACTGACTGTACCTGTTCTGTTGTTCCTCTAACAGTGTGCAAGAACTAGACACTCCATGATAGACAGCTTCATGGTCATTAATCTTTCAGGTCATAATGATGTGTAGAGGTGTTTCACCTTGGAAATGATTATATACTTAGTGTCAACTCACATAATAAATATCCAAATGAAACTTTTTTCCTCCAAAAGTGGTTATTAAAACCCAGGACCTCAGGGGCTGGCTCAGCAGATAAGAGTACTGGCTGTTGGGGTTGGAGAGATGGCTCAGTGGTTAAGAACACTGAATGCTCTTGCAGAAGACCTGGGTTCAATTCCCAGCACCCACATGGAACTCCAGTTCCAGGGAATCCAATGTTCTTGTCTGATCTCTGCGGACAGCGCACGACATGGGTGCACTTACATACATACAGGCATAACACTCATACACATGAAATAAAAATAAATAAAAAAAATATATATATATATATAAAAAGTACTGGCTGTTCTTGCAGAGGACCCAGGTTCGGTTCCTAGCACCTAAATGCCTGCTAGCAATTGCCTGTAACTCCAATTCCAGGGGATCAGGTGCCCTCTTCTGGCCCCTGTGGGTATTGCACACACACGGTACACATATGTACACACAGACATACTCACACACACACAATAAAAATAAATAAATAATATTAAAAGAAAACCCCAGGACCACATGTATGCCAAGCAAGCACTCTACCATTATCACTGAAATACATCCCAACCTTTTTTTATGCTCAGAATGATGTCAAGTGCCTGGTATACAGAGGCACTAATATTAATTGCTGGAAGAATGTTTATTGGTTTGTTTTCCTATTAAATTTGATTCTGATTTATGTAAGATGAAAAGAAGACTCTGTCTAAAGTTAATATGAAAGAGATACTCACTAGGAACTGCAGAACAGCTCACCAGGCCACACCCAGCCAGGGGCAGGAGGTCTCCAAACCCAGTTTCCCAAGGGAAAGGATATGTAAGCAGCCTGTCCCGTGGATTGTGTGAGGGAAGCCAGGGCTGACAGAGAGCCTTCCTGCTGTCTGGCCATGCAAGATTGCAGTTTGCCAGAAAGGGAGGTGCTCATTTACAGGCAAGGGCTGACAAAGCATGGGAAACAGTAGCCCTCCAGACAGCCTCCTCTCCTTCCTGTGGTGCTGCATGCTACAGTGTGGCAGCAATTACAACTCATTTCTCAGGGTTCAGGGAACACTGACTTCCCTGAAGCAAACTTAACTTCCATAGAGTGCAATCTTGTCCAGTTCCATGATGGGTCATCTCTTGGAGAACCTCCTGAGCTTCTGCTCAAAGATTTCCCCATGAATGGGGGGTTGAGAAGATTGACTCCTTTTCTCTTGAGAGCTATCAGAGCCACCAACATGCCCTTCCCCAGCCCTTCTCCTAGCATGTCTGAGTACTACTATCTGGAGATGCAGACAAAGAAGGAATATTCAGGCCCAGGAGTGGGCAGTGAGCCTTAGAGGACTGCCCAGGGGAAAACAATCTGCCTGCTAGGGCCCAATCGTGCATACCTAAAGCCTTCACAGATATCTGTCGGGTAAGCGGAGGTGGAATATTGATGCACACCAGGTCTACGTCTTGATGCAGCAAGATGTCATCGGTCCGGCTGGTATAGAAGGTGATATTCATCTCCTCAGCCAGCTGCTTGGCCTCCTCCTCCGTCTTCCCCCACAGGGCCTCCACAGTGAACCCTTCCGCCCTTAGCAGTGGGACCAGGACTCGGGCTGAGCTGCCAGTCCCAAACACGCCCACTCCTGGCAGCATCTTCATCTGGGCCTCTGCTCAACAACTCATCTCCTTACAAGGGTCTCCAGTATGCTGACCTTCCCACAGTCCTGATCAAACATGGCTCCTAGAATGGTAAGAAACACACTGCTTAGGAATGGGGAGCACATTCAACCGAGACTCTGAGGCTACATTCCAGTCTTTCTGTTGTTTGAGACAGGGTCTCCCCAGCTGTTCTGGAACTCCCTATGTAGACCAGACTGGCCTAGATCTCACAGAGATTTGCCTGCCTCTGCCTCCTGAGTGCTGAGGCACCACCAAGCCCAGCCTATGTTCCATTCTTATTGAAAGCAGCAAGTTCTCTGCCCTCAAAGCACAAATGAAGTATTGTTCCAAAATAAAAGACTGTAGGATAGGGGGCTGGAGAGATGGCTCAGCAGTTAAGAGCACCGAGGACCTGGGTTCGATTCCCAGCACCCACATGGCAACTATGAACCATCCTTAACCAGTTCCAGGGGAATCTGAAGCCCTCTCCTGACCTCCGCAGCATTGCGCACAGGTGCACTCACATACATGCATGCAATACACTTGTACACATAAAATAAAAATAATAAAATATTAGAAAAAAAGAAAAAAGGCTGTAGGATCTTCTTCCAGGAACACCAAAGGAGACCACAGTCACATAGGTACAGAGAAAACAGGAAGTAGAACATGGCAAAGTGAGGGTCAAATCATTTTTTTTTCCCCTTTGGTCTTTTTGAGACAGGGTCTCCCTCTCTGGCCTTGAACTCAAGAGATCCACCTGCCTCTGCCTCCCAAGTGCTGGATTAAAGGTGTGTGCCACCATGCCTGGCTGAGGGTCAGATCTTTACTCTGCTAAATTTCCTGTATAACCCTGATCAAGTCATTTAGACTTTAGAGCTTCAACCATAAAATAAGAAGAGTGATCTTTAAAGTTTCTTCTTGCTTTAAAAGTTCAGTGGTTTCAGGATATGACAAGAGAATAGGAAATAAAAACCAGTATAAGCGGGACTGGAGAGATGACTCTGTGGTTAAGAGCACTGGCTGCTGTTATAAAGGATCCAGGTTCAGTTCCCAGTACCTAGATGGGGTAGAAACTGTCCATAACTCCCATTCCAGAGGATCTAATGCCCTCTCTGGCCTCAATGGGCAGTGCATGACATGGTGTACTTACATACATGCAGGCAAAACAAGCATACACATAAAGTAAAAATAAATAGGGGCTGGAGAGATGGTTCAGTAGATAAGAACACTGATTGCTGTTGCAGAGGACACAGGTTCAATTCCCAGCACCCATATGGCAGCTAATAACTGTTTGTACTCCAGTTCTAGGGGATCTGCCACCCTCTTCTGACCTCTGTGGGCACTGCATGACACAGGCTCATTTACATGCATGCAGGCAACACACTCATATACATAAAATAAAAATAAACAAAATATTTTTAAAACCCCCAAAAGAGTAAAAACCAGTGTAAGAGGAAAAAAAACATAATGCTGCTACTAGATGAACATTGGTTGGGGGGGGGGTGCAGCTTAGTGGTAGAACACTTACCACAAATATGTAAGAATATGTATTCAACTTCTAATACCCCCTAAAATCCCTTGTTCTTTTTTCTTTTTCACATACAGATATTCACCATTGAACACTTGGAAGTCTAAGGAAGGAGTATTGTAAGACTGAGGACAGTCTGGCCTACATAGCAGGATCCTGTCTCAAAAAATTCTAAAAGATGGGGGTGTCCAATAAAAGTAATGGGTTAGAATAAATGACACTGGACATTTACTATATATTCACTGAAAAGGGGACAAAATGCTTGGTTTATAAGTATAGCCCAGTGTAATACCCTATACTGCTGGACTGTCTGTGAGCCACTGAAATAATCATGGGTTAGGCAACCTCTAATTCTAGAACCTTCAGTGGGTTTTTGTTATTGTTTATCATTTGTCTATTTATTTAGAGACAGAGTCCCGTATCTCCCAGGGTGACCTTGAACTCTGCACCACAGATGGTTTTAGGTGCTGGACCTCAAACTCAGGGCTTCATGTGTGCTAGGCACATCCCTTTACCAGCTCAGGTACATCGTCAGCCCCTAGTTTTGTACTGTCTCCTGTGTTCACTCTGGTTGAGAAGCCTGGCTGGTCCCTGTACAGGATCATGGGGATTCTGTCTCTCTTAACCATCTTCCTCCTTTCTGTAGCTAAATCATGTCTATTGTCTCACAAGTACCTTTTTTTTCCCTTTCTACTTTCTCTCTTTGTTGATAATTTTATTGTCTTTCTAGGCTTCCTTATGTTAGAATACAGCTCAGCCACAAGTATCCTCAATCATTTTCACACCCTGGACTCTCTTCAGCTATAGATTGCTCATTTTCTACATGTACAGGTTTGGTTTTTTTTTTTTTTTTTGTATCTTATGGGTCATCTCTAATCTGGGTGCTTGAGTGCTGAATGGATACTATTAGACAAATGAGATTCTCCCTAAGATTTTTTATTTTTTTGAGACAGGGTCTCCCTATAGCTCCAGCTGGCCTTGAAGTCACTATGTAGACCAGGCTGGCCTCGAGCTCACTGAGATCCACCTGCCTCTGCCTTCTGAGTGCTGTGACTACAGGTATGCACAACCACACACAGCTCTACATGAGTCTTGTGGATGATCAACAGCCAGGGAGACATAGCTATATCAGCACAGATGTCTGCATGCTCCCAACACTCTACACTCCCTCCCATTTCACACTATCCCTAACCACTCTAGTTCTATATCATATATACAGTCTTTTGCCTACATGCATGTAAATGCACCTGTGTTGTGCAGTGCCTGTGAAGGCTAAAGGTGGCAATGGATCCCTGGAGCTAGAGTTATGAACGGTTATGAGTTGCCATGTGGGTGCTGGGAATGTAATACACGTCCTCTGCAAGAGCACCCAGTGCTCTTAACCACTGAGCCTAGAGAATATATATATATATATATATATATTCTCAAGGATCAGCAGTGTGAAACAGAATGGATTAGCTCGTTAATAACCTGTTTCACATTCATTGACTCAAAGGCAGCAACTTCAGTAACACCATAAAGGGGTACTGGCTGGCTCCTAAGGAAGCCAAATGGCATGAAGCTCGGCAAGCTTGATGACTAGGTATTCCCTGCCCAAGCAGGCACAGCGGGTTTTCCTGGTTAATTTGGGTGACTACTTTTTCTCAGTCCTAAAATTTCCTACTCTTTGTCCTAATATCCTTGCACATACCTTTCACATGCTATCAAAGATCTAAACAAACCCAGCCCTGCCAAGCTCAAATGAATTCCAATACCACATGCTGGTCAGGAAAGCAGGGTGCAAAGTGCCAGGTTAGAGGGAAAGCAGTAATAGAGGTTAGAAGCATGGGTTCACATCCTGTCACTTACCAGCTGTGACTTTAACAGGGTATCCCAAATAAGTCAGTCTCTCTCTCTCTCTCTCTCTTCCCCTCCTTCTCTCTTTTTTCTCATTTGTTTTTTGAGGCAGTGTCTCACACTACAGCCTAGAACTCACTGTGTAGCTCAGGCTGGCCCCAAACTAACAACAATGTGCCTGTCTCAATCTCCCAAGTGCTGGGATTACAACCATCTTTTTAAAAAGATGATTTCTGAGCTGGAGAGATGGCTCAGTGATCAAGAAAGAGCACTGACTGCTCTTGCAGAGGACGGGGTTCAATTGATTCCCAGCACCCACACGGTGGCTAACAGCCTTCCTAACTCTAGTTCCAGGGAATCTGATGCTCTCTTTTGGCCTCTGTGGTTACTGCATGCACATGGTGCACTTACATACATGCAGGCTATACACTCACTATGTAGATAAGGCTGGCCTAGAACTCACAGAGACCAACCTGCCTTTGCCTCACTTTTTAAAAAAAAAAAAAAAAAAAAGGCCAGTGCTTTTTGTTGTTGTCTTGTTCTGAGACAGGATCTTCACTATATAGCCCTAGCTGCCCTGGTACTTGCTATGTAGATCAGGCTGCCCTTGATCTCCCAGAGATCTGCCTCCTGAATGCTGGGTTTAAAAGTGTGCTCCATTGCACCAGGCAGCTCTTGGTTGTGAGGGTAGGGTTTCCTATGCAGTTTAAGCTGGCATCAAATACACAATCCTCCTGTTTCAGTGTCTGGAGTACACTACCATGCTTGACTCTACAATCATTTTAGGATGTAGATTAGCTATATTATTCTGACACACAGCGAATCTTTTTTAGATGTTCTAATAAATATTCTGCACAACACACACACTCACACACACACACTCACACACAGACACACTCACACACACACCCTCACTCCAGCTGTCTTGGAACTCACTATGTAGACCAGGCTGGCCTTGAACTCACAGAGATCCACCTGCCTCTGCCTCCCAAGTGCTGGGATTAAAGGCGTGGATCACCACGCCCAGCCTATCAGAATATTTTTAAAAGGTCACTGGAGATGATATAGGCCTGTAATTCTAGAACTAAAACAAGAGGATTACAAATTTAAGGCCAGGTGGAGTAACATAAGGAAACCCTGTCTCAAAAAAACAATGGCCAAAGCTGGGTGTGGTGGTGCACCTTTAATCCCAGTCCTCAGAGACAGAGGCAGGCGGATCTCTGTGAGTTCCCGGACAATAGGGGCAACATAATGAGACCCTGTCTCACACACACACACACACACACACACACAAAACAACAATAATCAAACCCAAACCAAAATTTGTAAGTATTTTGGGGGCTGGAGAGATGGGTCAGCAGTTAAGACCACTAGCTGCTCTTGCAGAGGACCTGGGTTCAGTTCCCAGCTAACAGCCATCTGTAATTCCAGTTCCAGGAAATTGTTCACCCTCTTCTGACCTCTGTGGGCACTGCACAACACAGGTGTACTTTCATACATGCAGGCAAAACAGTCACACACATAAAAAGAAATAATAAAAAATAAAAGTATTTCAATAGCAAGGCATAAAGGTACATAGCTACAGTTCCAGCACTTGGGAGTTAGAAGAAGGATTAGGAGTTCAAGGCTATCAAGTTCAAGGCCAACCTCAGCTACAAGAGATCTTGTCTAAAAGTGGGGGTGGGGAGGCTGGGGATACAGTTTAGTTGGTAGAGTGC